ACCTCACCACTGTCGCTTCGACCATAATTAAGGACTTTATGGATGTTTTTATTTTAAAAAGCTATCTTGCTAGCTTATTGAACGTAATTGGTTCTATCTATTTTACTCTTGGTGCCTGGAATAATGCATAGCGGAGCACTTGAGACCTTCCTCCACTAGCTGAAAAAACGCCATTTGACTTTTCATGTTAATATTTTTGTATCTGACTCAATCTGGCTCTCTTGTTACGTCTGTAAATATGCCTTTAACGAAGACTGTATCAAAGATATAAATGAAATTTATGAGAAACGACACAAGCAATTAAGTCTAAGACGAGAAACTGTGTAAATGCCGTTATAAAGACATTAATAAATAATGAAGTACTGTCTCCTTAACATAGCAAAATTACATTACCAATTACTGAACAATAAATAATCCATGAACACCACTGGTTGCTTTAATCATCTGATTGTTCGTATCACATATTAGTAACTAATATTGATATCATACAAAGCTTTTTACTAAGCAAAACCCAACTGAATAGTAGATAGTTTTTTTGAAAAAAGTTTAATCATTGTTTTACCTCTTCCAAAAAACCCCTTAATTTTGGAGTTTTAAGACTGTGTTTTCAAATAGATTGAAATTTGATCAATTCTAAAAATAGTTTTACTTAATGTCAGATAGATTCGATATTGATGAATTCTTATTAATAATTCAACTTTTATACTGGTATTAAAAAAACTAAAAATCTGAAAAAACTGGTCGTAATAGTAAATATGACTGTTAAGATTACACAAAAAACGCATTTCGGTTTATATTATTAAGCAACAACCTTTCAGCAAGTGCGTGAGAATATGTGAGAGAAATATGTTCAATTCTGCTCAACCGGTGCTATGGAGCGCGGACGGTAACTTGCATGTTCAAGTACCCTTCATTAACAGACTCAGTTAAACCGAGCCAACAAATTTTTCAATTTTGCCGGGTTGGGCTTTCTTTAAGGATTCTGTATTTCTTTATTTTGTAGCTTAGGCATTCTTTTTAAGATTTTTGTGTTTGAAAAATGCTAAAGATAAAAACAAAATGAAGATCATGAATTTTACAAAATGTTCAAAACATTAGCAGTTGACATACTACATGTATTTTACGAAAATATTGAACAAAGAATATTATTTGACACTGCGTGAATTTAGATTTAGACAAAATTAATTCTTGTCAAAGTCAATTGTCTCAACCTTGCCTGTAAGTGTTACCGCATTACAAAATACGAGACAGAGATCTCCTTAAGGAATTTATAGATGTTGATATATCATTTAAAATATCACCCATGAGTGAACCTTTTCCGTTTCTCACTATTACTTTAAGAGCAGTTTTTTATATTATTGGTTCATGAATTGTTTCAGAGTTTGTTTTCTTTCTTTCATTTTACTTGGTTGTATCAATTACTTAGAAATATCTTGGTATACTGAACTTGTAATGCAATTTAAAAAATAGATTCCAAGTCTTTACAAATCCTTTCATTGTTGAAGTATTGACTTTTCAACCGTATACGAGTAATTATTCCCAACTGTACACACTAATTTAAAATTATGTCTTAAACTTTGCATTTCATTCACTTATATCGGATATATTTCTTTCGTATGCAGACACTTTGTCTTTTGTTTTCTTTACTTTGAGCCATCGATTTGTAAAAGAAAGCAGAAATGGCTTCCACAGCTACTCCTTCGCATAAAATACATAACTCACCTAAATGAGATGGATGTTCTAAGTATAGGAAACTCAAATTGCAATCTCATTCTCATTGTTTTCTTTTTCTACGATTGTCATTTGTTAATGAAAGGTTTAAGAAACGTCAACGGAAGGCAATCTCTGGAAAAATTAAACACAACGCAAATTGCACTTGATGTGCCAATAAAAACATTTGCTAATTGTGACATTTTATTTCGTTGACGGAAGATCATTCTGTGAGCATCCTCTTGTCAAACTACAGGACATGATAAATCAAGAAAGGTTCATCCTGATTTTTTTAAACATTGAAACCATGAAAAATATGCATTTGCAGGGAATGTGCAATCGTTCGTAATGCATGCATCTTTTTATTTTTATTTCTGAAAATATATACTAAGTGGATTGATATTCGAAAAACCAAACTACATTTATTCATTTTATGAACAATGATGTGATAAAACAAGACCATTAAACGGCAGTGGAAACTTGCCTCGTTTTTTTTCTGTCTCTACTAAAACCTGGTAGCAGTCGGGATTCTATGCCGGTAAAGCAAGTTATCTTGCCTTGTTATAGTTTTGACATTTGAAGAAATGTAGTTTATAACAAGAAAAAAAAGGATATTCATGAACATCCATTGATCAATGATGTTTGAATGATCATTCGTATTCAAATTCTACCGCCTCCTTTGTTAAACTGGTCAGCAATATACTCTTATTTCATTAGTCTTAGCAGCATAGTCACTGGTGTATGAAAAAAGATGACTTGGGTTACTGCTATTTATTGGTCTTTTAGGATGGAGAAAAGTTATCTATATATTGACAAATTGTTCCCAATGATAGATTATGACTGATTGCTTGTACAGAGACGGGACAGCTTACCAACACATAACACCTTTAATAACATTTCTTCTGTCACTCACTCATTTACAATGACACGCGTCGTTGTTGTCTCTATGCAACCGATCGCTTCATGTATTTCTAACATCGCTCAATGATTTGCACTTGATGTACTTTATATCAAAGAAACTAGACAGTATATGCTTTCAACATGCCAGAGTTGACCATGCGTCTCTTACGTTATCCGGATATTCCTAATTGGTGTCAATCTATGTTTCTGCAACTACAATCGGTTTTAATTGTGAATGTGTAAAATACGAATTTTAATAAAAACATATGATGATGTCTTAGATATAAGGTGTTTAAATGATGAAGTTCGATATTTGCAGTTAAGTTTACATTTTTATTAAAACAAATGTAAATAAATTAATTTCATAGCATTAAATAATTTCCACAGACACTTTATTTAATTGTGAATAATATGCTACTGGTAATTGTGTACATTTTAAAATGATGCCCCTTTTTTGATATTCTTATATAGCACTATGCAAACGTCCTACACGTTTCTGTCAATGTAGCAGGCTAAAATTCAGTAACGTACAGTATATATTTTATTTCATCACTAACAACATTCATACGCCTTTTAAATTAATCAATGATGTACTCTGTAGCAACAATAAAAGGGTTCTAAGACAATTCGTCCTCCACCACAACGGTGCCATTTGAAAAAAAAGTACGATAGTGGCGTTACTATATTTAATGTGTCGTTATGGCAATCCTTGAAAGCAAAGAAAACATCACTTATTCGAAAAACAGTTATTTAATCGATCATTCACGATTTATTTCCATATACCAAATCATCAATGAAAGGCACAAATGCAATATAAATGGGCAGTTGTATATCGATTGACAAGATAGATCACAAAAACCGTCAGATAATTTCATTCGGAAAAGAAACCGTCACAAAAACACAACAGTTTGATTTGATTTCTCGACAGGGATTATTTTCTAGCGGTTTATCGATAACTGCTATTGAAAGGAAAGAGTTGATATATGAGGCAGTAATTATGTTTTGTAATTGAAATGTATGACTAGTTATCGTGAGAAATAATTGACGGGAACTAAGATTAGGTTACACGTCTATGAAAACGTATGGTCATAGAAATAATCGCACGTTTTTAACGATACGACTATACAATCATAACGACAAGGTGCTTTATCATTTTTCGAGAAATATTTAAAGATCTTAGACTGCGAAGAGTTCTTACCATACTTATTGAAAAGTATAAGTTTGATTTTTAAACAAAATGACAATGTTTATTAATTAAATAGGAAGATTAAATTTATATGAACCGATAATAAACGTTGTTGGGTATTTGTCAAAAGTAAATATATATTTAAAAGCACGCACAGAGAGAGTGATTTAATGTTCTACCGGAAGAAGACGACATATTCAATGCATTCAATTAATGATTTAAAATGCAAACTTGATGGAGATAGAAAGGATGCTTGGGCAACTTATCATATATTATTAACTAAAAACATCAAGCATGAACAATTTTCCATTGTTTGATTGTAATGTTCACAACGGAAGCTCTTGTCGTGTTGTAATTGTCTAGTCTGCTTACATTTTGTTTGAATTGTCATTCAAAGCCACAAAATGTGATTGATATTGAAAACGCCTTTGATTATATTTATTTATTATATCTGATTCTTGAAGAAAAAAATAGACAATAGACTTCACAAATAGAAAGTAGAAAAGTGCAATTATAAATGAAGACTGTATAAAAATAGTGAGTGATATTTAAATTAAGAAAAAAAACACACACACACACAAAAAAAACAAGATCAAAAGTATCAACCAGACTTGTTTCTTTTAATAGGTATTATATAACTAACATTTATGGTAAATCAATCATTGCAGCTTGGTAGTGAATGAAAATTTAAATTAATGAATAAATAAATACATCAGTCAACAAACTAATACTACTTAGCACATTGCATTATGTATTTTCTTATTCGAGTCTTTCAAAGCACATTATGCATCATAAATTAATATTTACCCCCTTCTTTAGAAAGGGTAAACATGAGTGTTATAGTAATTAAAACGTTTTAAAACATTATTAGATGCTTATCATAGAGAAAGTAGCCAAATGTGAAATTATTTGTCATAAAAGTAGGAAAATGTAAACAAAGTTGTATTTTGACATCGATTCAAAATACTGAACCACTTTACCTGTCCTAATTACCAGAAGGCAACAAAAGCAAAAGATGTTGTAGTTAATTGACCAATAAGTAACGGTATTGAAACTAACACAAGACACAAAAATGAAAACTTTAAGAAATGGAAATAAGGGGGATAACAGGAAACGTGCATTATTATATTTCTAAAGTCATCGTTATGCTTGATTAAATGGAATGATATATTGTATTCGTAAACATGTATGCATTTATTTACAGTTATACCAGAACGGTTACCTAGATGAACCGGACACATCAAGTGACATTGAGGAACTATTAGCTGAATATCAACGACCAACACATCCATTTCAAGAACTAGGTCAAATGTTAGATGACAGATATGACGCTGGTAATGATGAAAGCTATGATATCAACGGCTTTGACTTCTTTGGCAATCGGGACGATAAGTTGGTAGGAGCACGAGCAAAACGTCTTGGATATTCGTATTTTCCTTTCCGGTACACACGCCAGTATATGCTAAAACACCAGAATAGGCCTCTACCGGAACTGTTGAAGGCAGCCAATGAGTTTCAAGCAGATGGTAAGCATTTGTATATTCTTTTTTTTTCTTAGAATAATTTAAACAAAGCTTGAACAAAATACCAATCCATTTTATAAAAAGATTGTGCATATTTCATTGGTGGCACTTTACTTTATCGTTTTAATTGTTTTTATTTATCATCCGTAAATAATCAACATCTATCAAAAGAAATGTATTAGTAGGATTAACATGCAAATGAGTAAAACCTGAACGCGCGGTAGGTTAAATTATCTTTAGTTAGTAGTTGAATATGTCTTGTCTTTTTAACTTAAAGGACCCTTAAACAATTTGTACAAGATCACATGTAAGTTTCTATCAAAAAATAGTTTTGGAAAAGGGAAATGAATGGCTGCTAACCCTAATCAATGAAAAACACTATAATGTAAATGCAAATAAAGATTTGATAGATTTAAAGTGCCATTATGTACGTAAAATAAAAACAAATATGAAGGACTCAATATCATTTTATTGGTTAGGAGACATCTTTTTTCATTTGTGATGATGAATCAAATTCAATACGAAAAAAACATAAATATATAATTCTAGTATTAGACAGCATCATATATGGTCTGGTCTTAAAAATATATTGACAAAGTTTGTGATATCACTTGTTTCATGTGATTCACATTCATTCAAATTCCATCTGTGTGGATTTTTGTTGTTGTTTACTTTTTTTCCTGCAAGAATATATAAGCCCATAGATATTGAACATAAGAATAATAACTCTTTTACCTTTGGACATTTCGAGGCAAATAGATGTGTGGTATTCAAAAATAGTTGATTGTGTTATTCCTGTGTGTATTAATGTGTTTTAAAATATGTAGTTTGACATTTCCAGTACTTTTTATTTGGCTTATTTAATGAAAATTGTCTTTAGATTTATGACATGAAATGTGTTTGCTCTGTAAAGTAAGTTAGAAAAATATGAATTACAAAAATGTTATGATAATAGGTTACTAAATACCCGTTTTATCTTCAGAATTCCCGCCTGTGAAAAGACGACTTGCCTTTACCGCTTTGAGAGGACGGTAGTTGCCTAGACGACTATTGGTGACATTCTTTGTCATTTACTCAGCTTTAGAGACAACTTTTTTCCAAGAAAATAAAGAAATTGTAATCGAACGTTTAAAGATATTTTTGATATATTAATTTATTGGAAAAGTAGATGCTAACTCTTCAAGTTTTGTTTCGACTTGGTACATATGTGAATTTCAGAGCGTGTGTTACAATAACATATATATATTTGTGTGTTACGGAATGTCTTTGACAATGAAATTTGAATAAATTAGTTTTGATAAAATTCAGTATCTATTAATAAATGACAAACCGTTTTCAAGTTGGACTAAAAATTGATTTCTTTATCTTTTTCTTCCTATATTTGTATAGAATCATGTGTTTGTATGGTTGCTTTTTCTCAGTTATTAAATGCCTTTATAATACTAACATGTTATAATTGTTAGTTACAATATGTATACAATTGAAAGAGCGATACGATCGGGGGATATTTCAAGATGAAATTGCAGACGCCTGGATACAGGGACGATTTGTTAAATTGCAGTTTTATGAAGTTGTTTGATGTCTGTTCTCATAAATAAAGTCTCTACAACTCTGTTATTTGTTTTATTTGTGTATACATGACACCTTGTGCAAGCAGAACGATCATAGTACTTAAAGCAGGTAATTGCGTAACATTTAAATAAACAAACAAACAAACAAATATTTCCGCTATTACTTATTGTTTCCTTGACAATAAAGTGGTACATTTCACTACATCAGAAAAGGTTGCAGACACTTATGGAAAGAAAACTGTCCGTCCGAAAGGCTTCTCTGAAATTATGTAAAAAAGTGACTTGGAACGTTATGTTATAAAAATATTTGTTTATGGAAAAATATAAGATGGTCAAAAGTAACATATTTTAATTAAAATTCAAATTCAAAGGAAATTTGTTACAAAGGCCACAGTTTTATCATTCCCTTAAGATATAGATAATTTTTCTTTTCTAACGAATTATGTTAATTATATTTGCAATGAACTTAAGGCAGCATTTACTATATATTTTTGAAAACATTTAACATAGGTTTAATAATGAAATGTGCGTTTATCCGTTAATAGATATGCAAATGCATATCAATGTTCATTGCTTTTGAATAACTGTAAAATATAGCTTCGAAAACTTCTGAAATTAAGTTAAAATTTGTTTACAGATTGTAAATATTACACATTATATTGTTTAACTACATGACAATGTTTCTGTTAAAGATTTATATCTTTAGTTACTTTATGCAATTTAAAAGTCGATTTTATATATAAGAGGCGGTAATGTTGTAAATAAATCAAACGAGAAGAGCTCTTTTGGATGATAAATTGTGTCAAAAGAAATAAAAGTTTTTCTTTTGCAAATGTTTTAGTTCTTACATGCAATATCAAAAATTTCAATTCACTACACCCATTATTTTGTAGTATAACTACATTTACAAATAATCAACAGTTATCGAATAGTTTTACACTCTAAATTTGGTTTCAAAAGTTTAAGTTCCAAACAAGACTGTCATTAAGTCAAACCACCTTTACTTCAACTATTTTGCATTCACGATTTATGCAAAAGCTTCTTTTTTAAGTTTTAAAATGTTGATCCTTTTTTAGAATCGATTAATGTTTCATTTACAGAAGTCAAATATATATGTTCCAAATTCCTTTTTTCGATTGAAGCTAATAAAAGCCTGTGCAGCATACGCCGAAAATTTATTTGTGGAATGACGACAATGATTTAAGGCTGCAAACATGTCAAACTCTGATATAAAATGGTTAGTTTTTAAGAATGCCATTTATTGCTAGAACTAAATATATTAAAATGAAGCTTATACTTGTTAATTCCACGCTACTAAGCTGTTTTAAATAAGTTACCTTATTACCGGCCCATCGTTCCCTATAACCGAATACAATAGACACTTAATACATTGATTGATTTCTTTGAACTAGTGTTTGTACACATTTTTGAATAAACATGAAACCTTACTTGTTTATTCATTAGTTTGTAATGTGTTTCGCATCATTGCAACACAGTGACATTTCCTTAAATTTATCTATATTCTCTATTGGCGTCGTCTTCTAATAATAAACTTCTTCTAACACACAGCTCATTAAAGGTAATTAACCTATTTTTATGAAGAATGAATGTGATTAACAGAAACGTATACTAGTCTGAATAAAACAATGTTTACTAAAGATCAAATGACATATTTGAAACGGAAGCTGAAGTATTGACTGGAGTAAATCAGTTCAATAATTTACTAGGGTTTCATAATTTTTATTGATTTGAAAAGTTTGGCGGGAAACTGAAAATGAAGGATTCCTTCTCATTAATTTTGTCTTACATTTTAAAGTGTAGAATTACTTAAAGTCGAAACTCGCGATAAATACCCGCAACTTCACCCCAAACAAAATCATATAAACGAATTTCGTTTTTATATAAGTATACGTTTGAAGATCATTGCCAAAGAATAGATACAATAAATATTAAGGAAGGTTTGTAAGATTCAAATAAAATAGCAATACTCACGTTAATTTCCCAATCGATTAAAATATTCTAGCCCGCTGTGATTCAATCATGACGCCCACAAACAAACGTACCTTATGTTGATTACAAGCCCCGTATTAACCTTTATCAATGACATTTAAAGAAGAGCAACCACTCCTTCTTTATACAGTTACTATAGTAACTGTAGTAATCCAAAGCACAAGTTAAGTGTTATCATATTTATGAATTAATGTGTTATACATACATAATACGAATGAACTTTTATATAAGTTTTGCGGATAGGCAAGGTATTCAGTTTTCATCATAGATCATGTCTCTTGTATAACTTATTTTGTTAGCTTATAAACCTTTGCTATCTTTGATCATCTTAATTAATAAATAACTTACATCTTTTGAAAAGACCTCGGAATAAAAAATATGAACAGACGTTGTTGATTTCAAATATTTTTGGAAATCGACAAAAATCTGGAAACAAAGTGATCCCTCGGAAGCATTAATCACAACAAAATTACAAGAGAATTGCAGACTCGGTTTGATTGAGTCTGTACATGAGGGATAATGAATACGTGCAACATCCCTCACGCCCCTAGCACCGGCTTGAGCGGTACTCAATTCTCAACATTTAATAGTGCTGGCATCAATGATCCCGAAGGACCAGAAAAATATAACAATACTGAAGTGAGGTACGGGGCAACCTTTTACAGCTGCCAAATGGCACTTTACACCTGCTGTTGTGAAGTATAAAAATCTGGAAATAAATTGATCCTTCGGAAACATTAATCACAACAAAATTACACGAGAATTGCAGACTCGGTTTGATTGAGTATGTACATGAGTCACAGAAATTATTCAATTTCTTTTTTTCTGCAAAGTAATTCAGATTACATTTTACATGTATGCAATAATTAAATAAAAAAGTATCATTATAATGCCGGTATGAGACTGCCATCAGCTTCGCATTTTGTATCATTTAAAAATAACAACAAGAAAACACTACAACAAAGACTCCTGTCCATTCTAAACAAGCTAATTTAACCAAAAATGCTTTAGTCTCGTATATGTTTTGCATACTTAAGCATATGCTCTGTTTACATACTGTTTGTCCTCTGTTAGTATTATCAAATATTTTAGTATCAAGTTTACAACATTCAATGTCGAATGGCTTTATATCGTATTTGATAATTTATAGGTAATAAGTATTTCTCCAATCCTAAATCATACAAAACGTAAAACGACTTTCCTTCTTATTCCTTTTTCCTTGCTACATTCTTTTTTCATAAGTAAAATACTGGTTTTTGTCAATGTTTGTTTCCAATCAAGTTTAAGTCACATTTATTATTTAGAACAAACACAAGAGATGCAATAATTTAATGTCACTCCTAAACTATAGTTAAACCTTTAAGTAAACCGTATGGAAAAATGTGTTTGTGCTGTTTTTTTTGTTCTCATAAATATAGATAACAGTCAAGAGAAAAACAAAACATTTGTATATAAATTAAGGCGGAAAACTATGAAATGTCTTTATAATGAATATTTAATGAAATATTGTCTCTCTTAAATAGCGTAATTTGACAAAGCGATTGGCGAAATGCTCTTCAATTACGAATTATATGTTTCCATTTAAATACATTAACTAATTTCTTGCTAAACTGGCAGTTTAATATTAGCCAATACTTTACACGTCACGTGCATGATGTGATACGAACATTTATATTTTAAGAGACTTATTATCTCCTAACTTAATTCAATAAATGCTAAACTTTAGACTTCATGTGCTTATAATTAATATAAACCCCATGCTGAACAGTTAATGAATACGTGAATCGCTAGTATCACGTTATCCAGAGAATAGGAGCCCATTAACAAAAATAAGAAAAGACTGGGACTTGTAGCGTCCACAAAAATCAAACAACATTCGTTTTGTAGTTTTTAAAAAGTCTTAACTAAGAAAAAACTTCGGTTTAATAAAAAAGAGTCATTCCTTTTACAAAATAGCTTATTTTCAGAATAAACCCAGCAGGCACTCGACGTTGTTTCAACGTTGAAACAACGTTGAAATATTGTCGTGACGTTGTTCAACCAATATTCAACTATGGACGACCATACGGATATATTGCCAATGTATATACAACGTTGATTCAACGTTGTTTATGGTCGAAGTTTTACATTTAGTTTAATCATTATATAAACTTTTATACCACTAATGTTGTGATATTATTCCTTTATTGAATTAGTCTGTAAGTGATTTTTGTCAGGAAAATTTGCGTTACAATCTTTTTCCGTATATTCAAAAAATATTAAACAAATAAAGTTGGAAATAATTTTTCACTTTCTATAAACGCTTTAAATATTAGTTAATATGTTTTGTTGTTTGTTGTTTTATTTTTTAGTTCTTTATGAATAATATTAATTAATAAATTTATATTAGTCAAAACCCCGTTTATAAGATAACGCTGGTCAGGGGAAGTAATTGTTGCGGTCTTTGATTTTGTTTGTTGTCTATGATTATCGTTCGTGCAAATGGTGGCGCTGTTTGGAAAATTTGAAAACAACACGATTGGCAATTTATTTGGATTTCGAAGGTATTACCGTTATGTTTTACTTTAGTTTACTGATTATTTTCTAAAATATTATTATTTATTCTTTAAATTCTACTTTTATTTACTTTATGAAATAAATGAGAGATATAAACACATGATTGAGTTGATTTGACACGTTTTCGCGACTTAATTGAATGATTTGGGTTCGGTAGGCCTTGTAAGCATGAAGTTATTTATGTCATAAGCAATTTATGATTTTACAAATCTTGTCTTTCTTTAATTTATTTTTCATATTATTAAACTTTTGTCTGTGCTATATCCTATTTAGAATTTAATCAATTTTAAAATTGAAACCTATAAAGTAGTTCGGCCCACTTAATTTACGTCCCAAGACGATTCGTCAATATATATAACTATGTTTATAATTTATTGATAGTATAATACAGTGTTAATTAGTTTGAAAAAAAAACAACATTATAGTGATTATTATTAAGTTAAATAACAAATTTGAGTGTTAAACTTTAAAGTTTAATAGTCGTAAATTTAATAATAAATCTATTTCTATTTTATTATATATTATTTTATATTCTAGATCCTGGTCCTGGCTGAAATTTAGAGCTGTAGCCTGTATACCATACATTCAAAATGAAAGGGACTGTCAGGTTTGTTAAATTGAAATTTATTCTTATTAATTTATATATTTGAATTTCTTTACAATACAAAGTATAAATTTTTTCAACTACTGGATATTTATCTTGTCTTAAAATATATTTCTATCGAAATATTCCTGTAACATTATTAATATAAAATTTACATGTTTGTTGGTTTCAGGATGCTGCATAAAATGGTCTTAGCTAGAGCTTAGAATGTTAATTTCTTGGGAATGCTGCAAGGAACTGACGGGGAGCAGTTTTACAAATCATAGGTGAGACTTTTAAATAGCTTCTTTTTAAAAAGATTTTGTTGTCTTATATACAGTATTTGCTGCCAATATCAAACTAAGCTATGTTTCAATTTCTATGCTGTTTTATGATGTAAATCTTAGATAAAAGCATTTTTAAGATAAAAACAAATCACTAAGTTGAGTAATTATATGTATAATTTGAGATTGACCAAGTCACTTTTAACTACAAACTTCTTATTTTTATTTGCAGAAGCAGTAAGGGACAGCCAAAGAAGTACTCGAACACTTGACATACCCAGAAAGATCTAGAAGAAAAGATTGGAACAGATTGTAGCTTAATTGTTAAAACTATTAAAGTGAATTTTAGCTGCACTTAAACTGTATTTTTGAAATAAAATATCTGAAGTATTTAATATTGTCTTGATATTTTGTTAAAATTGGTTACTTTGCTTTATATCCAAAAATTAAAGTATGGTGGGTTTTCAACGTTGAAATGACATTGAAACTTCAACGTTGTGCCAACGTTGAAGCTGCAACGTTGTATCAACGTTGAAATTTCAACGTTGTTTCAACTTTCAAATCCGAATATAAATCCAACCTTATTTCAACGTTGAAATCTGACCATAATTCAACGTTGAAACAACGTTGATGTGCCTGCTGGGAAGAGTTTGCAAGGAATGACTGACTGTTATCAATATACTTGTTTTTTTTCTAAAATATTTAAAAAAAAAAAAACCCATAAAAATATTGCACAATACTGTTTAGATACGAACAGAATGAATTAATTGTTTTTTAAGAGAGATGCTCCAGAGATCAATTAAAGACAAACAATATTTCACAATTCAGAAAACCAAATACGACATGATTATTTAGCATTATGTTGATTTAGATTTAGACAAGAATATTACTTGACTGACTGTTAGTGTAACAGTATTACAAAAACGAGACAAAAATCCCGTACAGGAGTTTATAGTAATTGTTACAACAATTAAATAAATCCCCGGGGAGAAAACTTTACTCGTTTTCCATTTTGAGAGATGTTTTATTTAATTTATTCATGGTATTTTTTCAGGATGTCTATTTTCAAAATATTATAAATATTCTACATCTTAGATATAAATATAAATCTTTTATAAGGCATGCATGCGGACTATCAAAGCAACATAGCTTTAATTCAACTAAGAAACACAAATAAAACTTTCAAATATTTGAAATAAGACATAATTAACTTACTATATATGTTTGTACAAATTAATATCTCAAACGAAGAACCACGAGCTGTCAGACTAAAAAAATGTCTTCATATATCTGAGTGTTAATATGTTATATACTTAGATTATTTGTCTTTATGTTTGATTATTTAAACATATTTTTACAGTACGTTTATTAATAATTGAATCTTCGCCTTTGTTTTAACTACATTGATGTCAAAAATGTTAATACTAATTCTCCTTTCCACCGGGAGAAACTGTAACAGTATTGTTTTTAAAAATTTGATTTTATAACAGGATGGTGTTAAAATACATCAACGGAAGGGAAAAAAAACTTCTGCTTAATTGAACAAAAAAATGCAAATGGTGTTGTCAATAAAGCTCATTCACAAGACATTTACTAATTGTTACATTTAATTTCATTGAGGAAGGCTTGCATCCTATTGCCGTGCGACAGGAAAAGATACATTGACACAGTCACATTGATCCTTTATTTTTGAGATTTTGTAAAACAGAAACATTAAAGTGGAACAAAGAACAAAATAAATCAATAAAAAAAATATAATTATGAGTAAATACATCAATATCAATGTTCTATTTCAATCACGTTTTTCAGAAGTTTTAAGCAGGTTGATAAACTATCAAGATCAAATTTTAGCGTATTGTTTCTTATTCAATCAGTTTATCATTAACAATGGAATGTGTAACATCTCATACGCCTTATTTTATTCTTTCTAAACACATATTAATCGAAACAATAATCCCAAAAAAACAAGAAAAGTAACAAAAGTGAGAAGCAAGGGAAGTCAATGCGTCTAAATAGCCTGAAAATTGAATTGTGCCTTGTTTCATACTGTTAAATTGAGCTAAAACAAGTATTATTCAGGCGCCACCCTTTAGAAATGATTTTACTAAATAAGCAGTTCTGGGGCTTTGCTTGTTAAAATGCCATTTTTGCATTTCTGAAACAAACAAAGTACAAAGTAGTTTTGCGACTGAGACAATACTATGCACGACCTTGTTTGTTGATATCAGTTCTGTAAAATATATAAGAATGAAAATGTTTATATACATTCTAACGTTATCTTGCGTAACTAAATGCCAATATCTCAAGCAGTTGTCACGACAGAACAGTAACTGGTGTATGAAAAATGATGATTTTAGTAACTGTTTTTTATTTGTTTTTAGGGTGTTGTCAGGATAGGAGCGTATTGATAATATGGTTTCCACTGTCAAATAATGATTTAATGCTTGTACAATAATTAGACAGCTATCCTACACGTAACACCTTTCATAGATGTTCTTTTGTCTTTTAATACTTATAATGACAGGCTTTGTATCCAATTGCTTCCCACATTTTTAATGTCAAAACATGTCTACGTCCCAGTTTTTATCGAGATTGAGTTACAGTAATTATTGAATATAACAAAATGGTGACTTTCCTTACTCTAGCTTTAAAATGTGTGTAATTAATTAACTTAGGGAAATTAGTTTAATAAAACTGTTGTCATCGTTTCAGGTTAGCGTACACGTTGTCTAAAAGAAGACATTTTAAAATTGTCCTGATATTGATCAGTAAAGAATAAATCCGACATACAAAAAGAAAAAGATTTTCATTGAACGAAATGATCAACATGTCTTTAGTTCCTTTGAATTAAAATATATAGATTTCAAACCCATAATTTAATGTCTTTGTATGTTGCCAAATGTAACAATTTGGAAAAGTATACATTTTAAATACTTAAGCACAAAAATGTTTCAATGCCTATGTCGAAAGATAAAACATCTCTAGGCAATAAATGTTGATATATGGTTTATATTTGCAAGCAGGTTTACACTCTGTGTATCGAAATAAATGTTGGATAAAAGTAAGGGATAAATAAATTTCATCTGGAATTCAAAGTTTATCGTAACTTTAATTATTTCAATTGTGTTTAACATGGTAAAGTAGTTAATTTCACACAAATATCCGCCTAAATATAATATTTGAAAGTCTCAACGTGCGAAACATTATATAATAAATATATATTTTAATTTGCAAACTATCTAAATTTATAGATGGGGAAATATAGTTTTTTTTAAGTTACTGAATTAATATTAATTCTTAATATTGTGTATAAAAGTTAACCAAGTGAAACCGTTTTGTTATGAAGCCAAGTTAAAAATTTTGTAGTCCTGTGCCTTCGAAATGAAAATAATACACCAACTTATCTAAGGGAAAAGCCAAGAAAACAGGACATATCAAAAAGGGGAAATACCTTATCAGTTATGAACATTAAAATTCCACACATCTGCAGACTCGGTTTGATTAGGTCTATTCATGATCAAAAATTGAAAATTGCAAACTCCCGTGCAATGGAAACTGGTATCTTGAACTGCATTTCTTTCAAAGCAACATGATATAATAATCGAGTTTAAAATACGGATATACACGTTTTATTTTATCTTTACCCGAACTTAATATGCTATTATGATAGACACCCGTGCAATATCAATAGATAGTTGTACATTGATTGACAAGATGTATTACAATAATCAACAGATAATTTCATTCCGTAAAGAAAATCATCACCAAAACACAACAGTTAGATTTGATTTCTCAACAGGGAATATTTTCAAGCGGTTATCAATAACGACTATTGAACGGAAGGAGTTGATATATGAGGCTGTAATTATGTTTGTAATTGGAATGTATGACTAGTTATCGTGAGAAATAATTGATGAAAACTTAGATTATGTCACAAGTTTTATGAAAAAGCATCATGGTTATATAAAGAAATTGTTTGACCACTGATGGGACAAATATATATATTTTGGCCACAAAGAATAATCATGTATTACGATACTAGAGGTTACATAATTAATAAGCATTATTTAATGAAAAAAGGTTTCCGAGTTTTATTATATTTGTACCGCCTATAGACTTTGTGACCTTGTGAACACCAAAAGTTCATATTTCAATCGTGGCTGCGCCACTCGTGAAATATACCTTTTGGTGCTCACTCGGTGAAATATATTTCGATCTTACACTAAACTAAACAAATATCCTCTATATAAATGGAAAGTTTATTAAGTCTTTCTTTAATTTTATGAAACAAACAGACAATCCACAGAAACACGAACATTTAGTAATTAATTTTTATTGCATACGTTTCGGCTATATGCCTTCATCAGTTCAAAAAATAATAAAATTACAGGAAGCGACGTCATATCGGAACACGCGTTAAACGCGCGAAAAACGTTATGGCGTTTAGCGACAAAATATGATAACATGTAGAAACAAATATTTATGTAATAAATAAAGATGGTACATGAATTAAAATGGATCAATAGTGATATAGATGTCTATTAGACAGTGTTAAAAAAATAAGATAATAGACAAACATATTAATATTCATGTAACACATTATAAATCAAACAATACTTTATTATTTAGTCCATTTGGAATCATAGTATTTAATTTATGGATTCAAAAAGATTCTTTACATAACCGGTCCATGTTGTTATCTATAATTTCTATAGGCAAAAATGAAAAATCTGACAATGAAAACTTATTATCGTTTGATCCGAAATGGATCGCAACATACGAAACTGTATTTACGTCACAATTTCTTATATCAAAATTATGTTTATTCATTCTGCATGATACATTTTGATAAGTTGGACCTACGTATTGTTTTTTACAGCCTTTACATAAAGAATACTATGATTTCCTTTGGGAAAAGAAAACACGTTTAAAGGCAAACTGACATTATTTAAAGTATAAACATGGCAGATTTCGTATTTTATTTCGAACTGTTGGTTCTGGTGTAAGAGTTGCTTAAATTGATATGAATAATTTATATGTAATAATGTCATAATTAAATACTTCACAACAAAAAAATCTAACAAAAACCAAGAATAAGGATCAACAATGTAAAGGCAACGTTCACAAGACGCAACCCAAATATCTAACCCAAATATGAACGTTTTCATTCTTACGACATCGCGAAAGTTTTGGATATTAAGTTGAATACACAACAATACAATGCTGAGCTGTAGGCTTTGTACATTGTGTTGTAAAACAGATTATAAAAAAAACTGTCACTTACAAACTGTTGTTTAGATTCATCTTGTTTGAAGAAGAACATTCGAATACTTTCAGTGATTAAAATCTGTCTCATGTTGACATAAGGATAAAAATAAAAATCAAACATTTTTTT